TCGTGACTGACTGACGCTAATTCTAACCATGTTCTAGAAGGGTTAGATATTTGAAACTTGGTACACATGTACCTTTTTAGGGGGGATAAGTTTTTAAAGATATACAGTATATTGTGACTGATTAGGATGGCATCGAGAGGCTTGACATGACGTCTCGGGTTTGGTGGTGTAGTGGTAACACACCAGACGGGCAATCGGGAGGCTCTGGTTCAAATCCTGGAAGTTCTGTGGCTTTTTTCGGCTTCTTATGCCTTCTAAGGCGCCTTAATCATTTCCCCTTCCTAACAATATCTTTGCTTTAGTAGAACGGAGAGATCTGGAAAGCTGAAACTTGGCATGGACATACCTACCGAGACGATGAGTTAAGGAAAAATGTAAAATTTTAGATTCATGCCATGTGGATGTATATTTTTTAGGGGCCAACGTTTTCAAGTCATTTTTTTACCCTGGCATATTGAGCTGGTGTGGAAAGATAAAACTTGGTGCATAACTACCTATTGGGATACTGCGTGCAGAAAAATTCAGACTTTGGAAGTAAATGCCCAGGGGGCACAAATTTCAAAGGGAGATGGTTTCAAATAATTTTTTTGCATCAGTTAAACTGATGAACATGGAAAGCTGGAACTTTGGATGAATGTGACTACTGAGACAAGGAGTGAAAGAAAAATGTTAAATATCGGCACATCCCCATGGAGGAATTTTTTCGCGGGGCGATGTTTTAAAAAAAATTTTCGTGGCGAATTGGACAGAAATAGAAAGGTGAAACTTGGCACACGTATAAGTGACATGATATTATTGAGTTGAGGGAGTATTTAGCTTTCATGGAGAAATCGGGCAGAAANTGAGTTGAGGGAGTATTTAGCTTTCATGGAGAAATCGGGCAGAAATAGAAAAGTAGCAGCTGGGGCACGTATAACGGACGTGATGTTGATTTAATGAAAAATTCAACTTTTGTTGTGCGTCTCCTCAGAGCACAGCTTTTGGGTGGGTCGCTTTTCCAAATACATTTTTTTATCGCCAGCAAAAAGGGGAAACGTATAAGGCTGAAATTGGGTGGCATGGAGTTCCCTGAGTCTAAATTAAAAATTAAAAAAATTTTTCGTTAAAACCCATCAGGGCACTTTTTTAAGTCCCATTTTCCTGAATTTTTTTAGTGAGCCACTGAAACAGAGACAGAAAATTTAAAATCCCTCAGAAGTACCTATTTGATGGCTGAGTACAGGAAAAATTCTACTTTTGAAATATGTCCCCTTAACATAGGTCATAGGAGGGAAGTAATACCAAATGTATTCACCACCCTTACAAAAAGGGACACATGAAAAGATTTCAAGTTAGACACACTCGAAACCATAGAAGTAATGATTTTGATCAAAATCAAGACTTTCTTCCTCATATGTCACGTATTTCAATGCGGACGTACTTTAAATACAGGTTTACCATTTCGCAAAGAATAAATTAAATAATCACAATACAAGGTAATGGAGCGCCGAAGCCGCGACCATAGCTAGTATATATACAGTATAGATATATAGATTGAATATAAGAAAACTGTGATGTTCCTCCCAGCCAAAGCCACCCCACGGCAACAGGCAGGAAATGTCCGGATTCTAGCCCAGGAGAAGAGGGCAGAAAACCATTGAATCCTGGAAACATACTATGCCAAAATAGCTTGCAGAGCTGGGGCAAAGCTTAAGAAAGTTAAAATGGAGAACGGATAGCGAAGGATCCCATCCTAGTTATTTGTCAGGCAGCCTGCGTCGTCAGGGGGTCGAGGCCGCAAGTCTGACCAAACAAACCCGACCCGGAAAGTTTCTACTGCCAGGTGCTATGGCCTATGGAATTAAACAGTTAGACTGTACCTAATGCCTCAGAGGCAATCACGGCTTGAGTCCGTCTGTCAGTGCCACAGCAACGATCGATTGGCTCGATCAGCCTCGCGACTGAAATGTATGGTAGACTCAAGCCTATGAAGGAAAAGGAGCGAGGGCATGGCTCGGAATGGCTCAAGCCTATGAGGGAAAAGAAAAATGGAGGGGAAGGCTAGTTGCGAAACAAGCCTATGCAAGAAAAACGTACCCCAGAGGCAGTCTGGGCATCGCTCCAGTCTGTCAGTGTAGGACACAGTTAACTAAATGCATGGTAGGGCTTTTTCCCTGGGCTACGTTTTTTCTTGCATAGGTTTGTTTCGCAAGTAGCCTTCCCCTCCATTTCCAGACGGTCGTTAGTCGTTGAACTGCATGAGCGGGGCCTGAAAAGACCTGATATTGAAATGGCGGGCAAGAATTTGAATTTGAACCGACCCTTCATCAAATAGATGGATACCTTGAGACAGGTTCTGCCGGCAAACGATCTGGAGGCAGCAGGAAATCGAAACCGTATTTTCTAATTCCAGGCATTCTGGGTAGATGCTCTCCATTTCGGCCTGTATTCTTGAATTGTTAATTGCTACGAGGTCAACAATGTATCTGGTAAGCATCTAATTATGAAACGGTAACCATCTGGAAAAGAAGTCGCGTTCATGTGTTTAGTTTCATAATAAAATAGGAGGAGATTCGCCCTATTGGCTGAGTATTTGCTATCCATAGGTATTCCGATCTTCTGCCTAAATAAATTATTCCCTATTTGGATATAATTATTCTCCAAACATTTGTTTGAGTATGTATGGAAAGAAATCCTTATTCACGAATGTGAGTTTGAAGGTAAACCCTGCTCCAACATAATTATCAAAAACGTCAAGATTGTTCTGATTAAGTTGGTCCAGAGGAATTCCAGCATAAAGTGTAGAGAAATCCCATAAAATAACAATGGAAACTTCCTTGATGTCATTAGGAGCTTTAATTGCAAGCAAAACTTTATTGTTTTTGATAATCCAGTGACAGTGGCAAGTTTTGCATTTTTGCTTAATTTTGTCGCAGAGCCTGTCCAGGATCCCGTTCAAAAGAAGGGAAGTTCCTTTGAAGCAGGTGGCAACTGAGCTTGGCATAAATCGAAACTTAATAGGGATTTCATGGAACTTTGGATTTGCAAGCAAAAAGGGGAGTTTCATTTTTTCTCTTCCATTCCATCTTAAATTTTCTATTAATTCTCATAAGGGAACTTAAAATTCAAGTTTGTCCTTCAACTTATTCATATGTAGTGGGCATTTGGGGTCCCTATAATTACCGGCTTGTAGCAAGCATTGTTCGGGGTCGTCCTGCACAGTGAGTTTGGTTTTGGTAACCTTGAAACAGTCGGAAATGGGGAAAAAAGGACATCTGAAGAGGAATCCCTCTCGTGATTCTCCTCTTCCCTCGACAGTACGTGGTCTGAAAAATAATGGGTGCCCGTCGGAATTTCGAATGCTGGAATGCAGAAATAGAGAAGGTTGAATTGGAAGAATGTAGATGTCATAAAATGTCGATTACGCTTAACGTCGAACATCCAGTGCGAGAGGAGGCGTAGTCGGACGAGAAGTGCTCCAGTGCTCATCTGAGAATGGGGAGTGGACTGATCACCGAACTCCTCTTTCGAAGCTTATGCTTCTCTCTCCAGTTCCTCCTCTATGAGAAAGCCGCAGAGGTGACCAACGGTAACAGCGGTAAGTGGCGTTGCGACGGCATAACACGAAGCGTGGCATCGCTGTATCGAGGGAGGGGGGAGGAGGTATCGCACGGATTTCTCCGCATGTCCTTGCAATGTCCTTGTCGACGTACTTCTCGAATTAATGTTGTTTTCGGAATAAATGTCACGAAGCAATGAATGGCTCGGAAAGTTCAGAGGTTTTGGACAGCATGTGCTGATATAGAAATGATAAAAACGTACTTCTTACATTTTTTCATCTGCATATGTTAGGAAAGCGTTTAACCAAGACCATGTTAATAATAAACCGTTAAATTTTAAAGAACCGTAGAAAAATACCGTTAAATAGGTAGCTATCAGCATGCTGAGCTTGAAATGATTCCGACTTTGGACGCATATTCCCTGGAAGCTTTTTTGTGGGGGTGGAACGTTTATCAGCAAATAGCCTCAGTCAAACGGAGGAAGATGGAAAGGTGAACGTATAGCCGTGAACATATCTTCTGATATTATGATTTTAGGAAGACTTTCAATTTTCAGTTATATACCCTGGGGGCAGAACTTTTGAGGAGAGAATTTTTCAAATACTTTTTTTTGCTTCCGTCAAACGGAGAAGCTTGGGAAGCTGTAACTTCGCATGAATGTGACTACTGAGATACTGAATTCAGGAAAAATCAGAAGTTGCCTGCTTCTCCTCTAAAGGTATATATTTCGGGGGTCAAATTTTCAATGAATTTTTTTTTGTCCTAGGGATTTGGACAGAGATAGAAAAGTGAAACTTGACTGAAGTGATTTTGAGTTCAGAAAAATTCAAATATTGTGGAGTATACCCTCAAGTCACAGCTTTTGGTTAGGTCGGCTATTTCAAAGATACTTTTGCACCAGCGAAAAGGGCAAACGGATAAGGGTGAAACTAGGTAGACGTGGAAGTTCTCCGAATACTAATTTCAGCAGCGATACAATTTTCTTTTCTTGTAAAAGGTGCATGTTCCCGAATCTTATTGATCCAATAAAAGAGAGCACCGTAAAAAAATTGAAATTTGCAGCAGAAACACTTGTCAGAATGATGAGAGCAGAAAACCTATTACTTTCCTTGTCCTGTTGGGGTGGCTTATGAGAGAGAAACACGTTCACGCCAAATTGCTTAGCATTTGTCAACTGCTAACTACACTATACCACTTGAGGGCGCACTACTCTCGACCTCAACTCTGTTACTAAATGCAATTGTCGTACGCATAGGGACGGATATGTATGGTAGGGAAACGGAGGAAGTTGTAATGAATTAAAATATAGCCTCAGGGTATTCCAAGGAAAATGCGACGAGGATTTGAGCTGCTTGAGTTCCAGTGAGAACCTCTGAGAAATTATTCCGCTATTTACTTCAGAACCTTTGGTCATATTGGCGAGAACCAGTCTTAGGAATTAAATTAACCTTTCCAAAGTGCGAATCGCTCACCTGAAACTAAATAAATATTTTTTGCAATCTGGAAACTGGTTTTTCTTATTGCCATTTCCTGAACTCAAGAGGAATCAATATTTGTTCATTAATCTCCAAATTTCACCTATATAATCAGCTGGCAATTGAAAACATCATTTTCTGTCCTTCAGCAGCCTTCTTGTATGGAAAACAATGAAATCTGATGGACAGGTGGAGCCAAGAAAATAAAAAAAATGCTTTATACAAGACGTATCCATTCCTCCAGGAGCAGGCTATGCATTCCAATCGAATCCTTACACTCTTCAGATGCATATAAACTCAAATTATTTTTTTGTCTTAATCTAATCAGATGGCATACTACTTTACGGGACCAAGGTTGCTTCCCATAACGTATCCGGAAGTCAACTGGAAACGCACGAAGACCGACCCATTCCGGTATGCATCAATTTGATTTCACTTTTAAAAATATTAGACATCTTATATTTTTGCACAGGCCCAGAAGAAAAATAACTGAATCATTCCATAGGTCGAATTGCTGCCGTACTTAGAGCAAGGAAAGAGAAACTATGAATCCTTCAAACAGATTCTACAAAATACTACCTGGGAGTCCATGACTACGCTATCTGATGACGTCATCAAAGTCGCAAGTGCTCGCAACAGAGAAAGTGGCCTCACCATGACATACTTAGAGGTAAGGAACCTACATACCAATCTTCAATACATTTTAACTCCAGATGGGGATCCTTCCGACTTCATTGCCGACAAGATCACGGATTGGTGGGACCACAGCCAAAGGTAACTTAATGAGAAAATGAGCGCGAGAAAAAATTAAGAGTCGCATACTTTTATTCCAACAAATCTGAATCATAATTACAGTACGCAGGAGAGGAGGAAACGATGTCTGCACAAACTGGCTAGCTTTGGATCATTCTTCAATGCCGTTTGCATCGATCTGTAATCACTGTAATCACCCACCCACCTTATTGTCTAGACCTTGCACCATTTCTTTTTATTTGGCTTTAACCGATGAAGGTTCATTTTCGAAGAGGGTGTTCTGTTCTGGATGTGAAGACCTTTTAATGCTGCAGGACATAGGCTTCGTCAACAAGATACAGACTTCTATCGAAGACCATATACTCCCTCCCTTGCATGACTTGAGGAATAGAACAGGCTTGGTTGCTTACGTCGGGGGAGTAAGGGGGGCACGTGCCCCCCCCCCACTTTTAAAGAAAAGAAGCTAAAAAAAAAAGAAGAAAAAGAGATGCATGATATCAGTATCTCAGAGTTCCCCTGCCCCCTCACTTTGTCCTGCGCTCCTTCCACAACCCCCCCCCCCACCCTTATATCCCGTGTCCCCCTACTTTTTCCATCCACGCTACGCTTATCATTAGTAATTTGTGTTTAAAAATTGTGTGCGGAAACTTATTCATCACTCCGTATGAGGCGGAAGTAGTAAACAGACTCCTGCACATGGAATATTCAAGGCATCAGATTGATGCATTTTCGTCCTTAAAAAGCGGTCCCGAATGTGATGTGTTCTCATCGCATCATATTTTCAATTTCATAAAAAACCCTCACATGGAGGATATATTCTTTCACGACCAAAATGCAACAATTTCATTCTGTATGCATCTCTTCCGCGTGTGATGCAATTTGGCATACCATACCATACCATACCCATTCTACGCCACCCCAGGGAGTATGGGTGGTAGGGATTCAATCCTAAGACGAGAGAATTTCGTTCGTCAGAACAGATATGTATTTCGCCAACAGAAAGGGCACGATTTTCGATCCATATACTACCCTTGACTGTGTCATCTCCGAATCAGAGTGAGAAATGATGGGCACACTAATATATACAATGAAAACAAAATAATGTATTTACTTTATTTTTCACTCGTCTGAAGGAAACAAAAATATTATTTTCTTCGAGAGACTCCCTTTCTAAAGCCATGGAGAAGACTCGATTTTCGACATGGGTGCTGTATCTGCTACGTCTATTGCCTTAAGACATGACTTGGTGCATTGCAGACCGTGGTGAACGTCTCAGTTGACGTGATCTTCAGAGACGTGTGGGATCATGTACAAGATTACCCAAAATGGAATCACAATTTGCAACGTGTGGAAGTCGTGCTTGTGAGGCCTAAAAAGCAATCCGTTTACTCTTTTTACTGTCTCGAACAGGTTGCTCGAAACGTAATTCTTTCAGGATATCACGCCAAGATGCCGATTGCTTTACGAGGTGTTACACCCGGTCGGGAACGGCATCATCTGGAGCAGGGACATCGTCGCCATCATGTATTGGGACAAGGAAGGCGATGGAATTTACGTCGCCCTAGCCAGCACCTCCTGGCCCGCATTGCCTCCGTCTAGTCAATATGTCAGGTTCGTTGCAGTTTCATTTCGTCGTAAGGAGAACTGGGAAGGGGGATGCGGTAAGGGTAAAAATTGTCTTAGATTGTTCAATAACGTTGTTACCGAAAGTCGAATCACTGTTCGTTTGTTTCTGCCTCCTATCTCGAGCTAATTCATCGCAAAGGTGCCCATACACAACTAAATGAAGTGGAAATCCCATGTCTTTAGTAAATCCAAATGATTGAGGAATTCCCCATTGCATCTATCATTAATGAAATTGGGATAATTTCCCGGGAAGTTATGCTCCTGGGATGTCACAAGAAGTTCCGCAGACGAACATTAATGAAGTAGATCGGAAATTGCAATTGAGACGTTGAAACTCCGCGATTTTACATGTCTCAATGCTAATCCGAATTTAAGATTTTATTCGATAGTGCCCTGCTTTCATTTCTAGCTCGCGCACAAGAACATGTTGTTTCCAAAACTTGCCCAAGACTTTGGAGTCAGCGGTGCTATCCTACAGTTTATAATCTATTTTTGCAACATGCCTATCCCATATCTTCCTTCATTTTTTGGTGCAAAGTTATAAATCCAAATCCTCTGAAAACAAGAGAATCAGAAAAAAGCTTGATTTCGTTTCCCACAGGGCAACCTTTCACCCACAAGGATTCGTTTATACTCCAATGCCTGGTGAACCCGAGAGGACCTTAATCCAGTGGGTCAATCACATTGACGTCCATCTGGCGTTCATCCCAGCGCCAGTCATCAGCCTCCTCATGGCGAAGACCGGCAGGGACATCCTCATGTCCTTCAGACATCACATAGAAACCTTGAGGAAGGAATTTACGGGATTGAAGGGAGTCTAACTCTTCGTTTTTGTTTTGCCTCTTATGTTTTTAAATCAGCTAACCGGGGACTTGTTTTTCCCAAAGCATTCCAAAATACCGGGACTTCCCCTATCGTTTATCCAACACTTCTTCAACATTTTATCGCATTCCACGCGCTTGCGGACTCCTTCATGAAAATTCAGAATAGGATGATACTGATGTGAATCTTCAGCTCTTTTTTCTTCCATCGGTATTACGAAACGACTCCATCTGAAGGATCCCTTCCATCTTCCCACTTCACATTTCCCATCTTGAATTTCGAGGAACAGCCTGTCGACATTCCGTATATATCAGGTTGTAGGTGAAATTTAGACATTTCGATTTTTTCTAGAAAAATCTGGAAAATGTTAGAACTTTCTATGTAGGTGCATAAGTAGAGTGACCAGTGGGCATTGTGGGCGTGAGTGCTTATCGAGAACCTACAACAGAACTCTAGTCAAGACTGAACTCTAGTCGTTGTAGAGTTAATTGTCAATAAATTGTTTTCTGGAAAATGTCTAAATTTCACCTTTACAACCTGATACATTCGAAATACTTGCAGTCCAGACAACACATCGACACCTACGTAGATATTGTGAGTGTAATCTCTTTCCGTCATGAATTTCTGAATAAGGCGCTTCTTAACCATTTTCCAGGGAGGAGGACATTTTGTCGTTTTAGCACGAGGCGAGAACGGAATTAATGTTTTTCTTGCTGGGGCTGCTTTGCCAGCTAAGCCGTAATTGGGTAGGACGGGCACGTCAGGAATGCCCATGATTTAGCTGATAATGGTGCTAGGGATAATGGTGGCGCCAACTCGACTGACTGATGATTCAGCAAACTGAATTCACATGGCATGGACCTGTGCCTTTGTGGAAAAAATTCCCCTGCAAAGGGGTCAAGTTTAGAATTCGTGCCTGGCTGCAACTGATGCGCCAAATAAAACAATTTCATCATAATGATTCATAGCGATTCGGAAAAAAATTATACAAGAGAATATTTACAAAACTATCTCCGCCGATATTACAGTTTTTCCCAATTGCTAACGTCCGTTTCTCAAAAATACACTTTCGTTTTCAAAACAATTTGAACAAATTCCTGGACTCTGCAACCTTTTCACAAAACTTAACATCCGATTTCATTGCTAACGTAAGAAAAGCGAAACTCGAAGTGCGATTTTCATATCTTCACGGACCTTTTTCGAAACTTAACATACGGAAAAGGATAAGAAGGCCGATTCAACGAGCGCCAAGGATGGATGCATGGCTGACGACTACAATGCATTGGCCTATACTCCAACAAGTCCCTTCCAACCGATCACAAAGATTTTCTCATCGTTTAGAGTTGTCAGAGCTTAATGCTTCGTCTCAAACGTTGAAAGAATTTCTTACGTCGATGCAGAAATGTGACAAGCGATAATGCTGACTGCGATTCAGTAATATCCTAAATACCTGATCTTGAGTATTTACTTACGATTAATTTCTGTTACTACCAGCTAAAAAGGGTTGAAAAAGGAATTGCAGCCCCGAGTTTAGCCTCGTTGGCTGCTTCAGGAGTACGTACGTCGTGCATGAGCGAAAATTGTTGCTTATTGCCTTGAGCCGATCGCATCCGTCAGCCATTGTATGGTCATTTTTGTTTGCCATAGGTTACAAAAGTTGTATGACCTTGGGGCCCATTTTCGTTCATAGGTATGAGTGTTAATTGCGACAATCTCATGTTATGATCGCCAAATCTTTCCAACTTAGGCTCGCTCAATTGGCTCGTAGAGGGGTTTTCGACCGGATGCAACGCCCTGCACTCTTTTTTAATGCTGACGAGGGATGCATATTTTTTTTGCAGCCTCCTAGGAACATACAACCCACTCAGGTCTTAGCAGGAGAGTATGTCTCAGTATTCCCACTTGACTGGATACCTTGAGACAAAACACCGTGGCCTCTGCTTCCAAGACGGATTTCGACAGTAATTCGTCGATAATGGGACAGTTTAATTGCGACAATCTCATGTTATGATCGCCAAATCTTTCCAACTTAGGCTCGCTCAATTGGCTCGTAGAGGGGTTTTCGACCGGATGCAACGCTCTGCACAGTCTCTTTTACAATGCTGACGAGGGATGCATATTTTTTTTTGCAGCCTCCTAGGAACATACAATCCAGATAGGATCGTGTCTTATTGGTATTGGAAGTGATTTCTGCCATTTTTTAAATGCATAAAAATGCAGGTTTTTACACTTTTCACAACATGTGCATATTTATGCATGTTTCGGTCATTTTTTAAGCAAAAAAGTAAGCGTTTTCCAAAAATATGTTTATTTATGAGCAATCTATGACAATTTTCAGGCTGTTATGCGCTGGCTGGAGTGGTAAACCCCCCGAAACTCTGTTCTAAATCCATCCGCTACCACCATCCCTCTCGAAGAGTTTCGAAAAATTGTTCCTTTGGCCTTCCATTGGCGAATTCCTGACTTCGCCGCTGGTTGTCACGAGAATAGATCAACTATACTCAGTTGAGGCATGAAATGTACCTTGAACTTCCTTCACCTAAAAAATTCGTACTGCGTTTAAAAAAGTATGATTTTGCATATTTTCCCATTTTCGTGCATATTTCATGCATATTTTCCAATTTTTAAG